GCACTGAAAATCTGGGTGCCAGAGCTGTATTTTTCTGTAAAGTAGAATTAATTTGACTTTTATGTATACTAACTGAATGCTGTATAGAAACATAAAAATGGCAAGAATGAATGTTTTGTGAAAAAAATTGCAGTTCAGTTATTACTAAAGCAAGATGTTTCACTTCTGAAACTTGTTTTGGTTAAATATTAACTGTAATACTAATTTCAGCTTCGAGGTCTATAGTTTCAATTCCATTCAACAAATATCTATGAAGCGTCTACAGCAGACAAGGTAGTGTGTGTTACAGAAAATTGAAAGAGCTTATAAAACACAATAATGCCATTAGTAGAATGGAAAATAGACCTTTAGACAAATGGATAAAAAGTAGGGTTATTTCATTTTCAGGGGAGAAAAAAGGGCTAAGGACAGGCACATTATATAAAGATTGTCTTGCTTTCAGAGAGGAACAGGATAGAGGTAATATTCTGTCTGATATTAAGATACCAACATGGAAAAGCTTATCAATTCTAAGGGTAATGATTCACTAGAAATAATTGCTGCGGGAACGTGTCTTCCCTATTTGAAAAGTTCAAAGGAACTTTAAAAAAAGTATTTATTTTTATTTTATTTCTTTTATGGGCTGCGCTGGGTCTCCGTTGCTGCGTGCAGGCTTTCTCTAGTTATGGCGAGCAGGGCTACTCTTCGTTGCAGTGCACAGGCTTCTCATTGCGGTGGCTTCTCTTGTTGCAGAGCACAGGCTCTAGGCATGCAACCTGTGGGCTCAGTAGTTGTAGCTCTCGGGCTCTAGAGAGCAGGCTCAGTAGTTGTGGTGTATGGGCTTCGTTGCTCTGCGGCATGTGGGATCTTCCCGGACCAGGGCCCGAACCTGTGTCCCCTGCATTGGTAGGCAGATTCTTAACCACTGCACCACCAGGGAAGCTCTCAAAGGAACTTCCTAAACTGGTTTAGGCAGTCCTGTCTGTTAATGGGGAGACACGGGGACTCAAAAACCTCATGATAAGTTTGGGAAATTATGACGGTTTTTTACTCACATTCCTATTTGTTTGAGTGTAATTGTCCCAGTTCATGACTTTAACTCATATTCCTGAGGCTTCACGGATCATCCATAATGTCACATAAAAATGACAGCAAAACACACAATAGGCCACTGAATGCTACTTTGGTAAGACCACTTCTGAACTTGTACTTTAAGGGAGACCAACAAACCAAATAAGTTGGAGAAAGCATCTAGAAACCCGAGAAACACTTATGGTTGCTTCTGCTAATAAAGCTTGGGAAAAGAAAGTCTTGGGGAACACAGGCATGATCTTCAAGTAATTCCAGTTACCTGGAAACAAGTTTTGAACTAACATTCATACAGAGAACAAAATCAGAGTTAATGGTTGGAATCAGGTGATTTTTTTGTCTTAATAAATAGATCGTGCAATGTTGGAAGCTGGTGATCTCCACATTCCTGGAATTCAAGTATAGACTGCTAGGGAAAAGCAGATTGTGTGCAGTGCATGAAAGAACTCTACTCATGATTCTCAATAGGAGTAGTACCGCCCCCTTGAGGGTGCTTGGAAATTTGCAGAAATGTTTTTAGTAGTCACAATGGAGGAAGCTAACCATACTTCTGTGGGCAGGGCTCAGAAATACTAGATGTCCTGCAATAATCAAGAAAGTTCCAAAGAGAAAAATTGTCCCATGTCCCACGTTCCACATGAATTTATAACTTTGCATCAGAATAAATCCACTATACATATAAGTACAAGTACTTTATCATGCAATTAATATTGGAAAAAAATTTAAGGTTAAGTAAGATAATTTTGAAGAAAGTTGCCATGAAGAAGGACACAAATGGAATTAAGATGTTATTTAAAAACTATTCAACACCATACACAAAAATAAACTCAAAATGGATCAAAGACCTAAATGTAAGGCTGGACACTATAAAACTCTTAGAGGAAAACATAGGCAGAACACTCTTTCACATAAATCACAGCAATATCTTTTTTTAGTCCACCTCCTAGAGTAATTTAAAAAAAACAAAACAAAAATAAACAAATGGGATCTAATTAAACTTAAAAGCTTTTGCACAGTAAAGGAAACCATAAACAAAATGGAAAGACAACCCACAGAATGAGGGAAAATATTTGCAAATGAAGTGGCCCACAGGGATTAATCTCCAAAATATACAAACAGCTCATGCAGCTCAATATCAAAAAAACAAACAACCCAACCCAAAAATGGGCAGAAGATCTAAACAGACACTTCTCTAAAGAAGACATACAGATGGCTAAAAAGCACATGAAAAGATGCTCAACATCACTAATTATCAGAAAAACGCAAATCAAAACTACAATGAGGTATCACCTCACACCGGTCAGAATGGCCATCATCAAAAATTCTACAAACAATAAATACTGGAGAGGGTGTGGAGAAAAAGAAACCCTCCTACACTGTTGGTGGGAATGTAAATTGGTGTAGCCAATATGGAGAACAGTATGGAGGTTCCTTAAAAAACTAAAATAGAGCTACCATGTGATCCAGCAATTCCACTCCTGGGTATATATCAGAGAAAACCATAATTCAAAAAGATACATGCACCGCAATGTTCATTGTAGCACTGTTTACAATGGCCAAGACATGGAAGCAACCTAAATGTCCATTGACAGAGGAATGGATAAAGAAGGTGTGGTACATATATACAATGGAATATTACTCAGCTGTAATGTCAAACAAAATAATGTCTTTGCAATAACATGGATGGATCTAGAGATTATCATAGTAAGAGAAATAAGTCAGACAGAGAAAGACAAATATCATATGATATCACTTATATGTGGAATCTAATTTAAAAACATGATATAAATGAACTTATTTACAAAACAGAAACAGACTCACAGATTTTGAAAACAAACTTATGGTTACCAGAGGGAAACATGGAGGGGGGAGGGATAAATTAGGAGCTTGGAATTAACATACACACGCTACTATATATAAAATAGATAACCAACAAGGACCTACTGTATAGCACAGGGAACACTACTAAATATTCTGTAATAACCTATATGGGAAAAGAATCTGGAAAGGAATGAATATATGTATACGTATAACCGAATCACTTTGCTGTACACCTGAAACTAAAACAACATTGTAAATAAACTATACTCCAATAAAATTTTTTTTAAAATGTTATTAAAAAAACCTACTCAATAATTCACTTTTTCTGCCCATAGCGTCTACTTAGTACATCATGCGTTTTCAATTACCAAATTAATTCTAAAGGATTTCAGTGCAAGAGTTTAGTTTTTACTGTGCCAAATAAGAGACAAAAAAGATTTAAGACTTTGTGTCTTATGCATTGAATTATAGAGAAATGCAACTAGTGGATAAACTAAGGAAAGATTGTTTTGTTTGGTTCTGGATTTTCCAAGAGTTTTCTAAAGGTACATCACTGTCAGCGCTGCTGCTCCTGGTATTTAAGCTGCTAATAAAACACCCTGGATTGTTCTTTACTTATAGCTGCACATATGAACATGTGTAATAACAGAAACGATTTGAAACTTTTACAGACAAACACAGAATATAAATTAGCAGATATCTGAAACGGTGATGTCAGTAAGTTGAGCTAAATGTTTTGAATTTATTTTTATTGCCATATACATTTATTTTTTATTGAATTATAATAGACACACAACATTGTATTAGTTTCAGGTGTACAACATAATGATTCAATATTTGTATGGATCATGAAATGATTTCATGATGTCTAGTTATGTATATATTTAAAATTTTCAACTATAAAAATGATGAGATCTCTGCTGTGAAAATTACATATTGAACTGCATTTATTTTGGGGTTATCATTCTCAAACTGATACTGCCCCAAGAGGTCTACCACCCAACTTTTTGCCCATCTGTCCTCTTTTGCCTACGGCTGATTATAGGATACTACTTCTGAGGTCCCTTTAAGTACCAGAAACTAAATATTTACTTTAATACATGGTAGATTGTTGAATGTAGAAGATGTGTTTTGTGTCATATAGTGTCACTTCCAAGTTGTTTTTCATACTATAAATAATTATTTTGACACTACACAATAAGTTCCAGCTGATTTGCAATAATATCATAGTTTCCTCATTTTCCCTCATCCACGGCTTATTATTTTTCTCAGCATGTTATCTCTACTTTAACTAAGGTTATTTCCCTCTTTCTTTCATCACAGGCAAATTTGTCTAGTCTCTTATTACTTATCCTAACTCTAGGTTTTATTCTAGGGTCCACCTGTACTTTTATATGCTTTATTTTTAATTATTTAAATAATTTATTTCTAATTAATAATAATAAATTAATTAATATAGATTTATTCATTTCTTTATTTTTATACTTCCTGTATGGAAGAACTACTGATCCTGTTACTTCTTGCAAACTCACATTTATTCGTTTTCATTGTATGTAGTCATCAGGCAGTCCCATTATGACTTTTAGAATAGCTAAAAGCTGTACCTGAACATATACATAGGGAATCCATATTATTTTTTATAAATTATTTTTCTTTTATTTTGATTTTGGATTAGAGTTAGGATTTATATCAAATTTAAAAAATCAACATGTGGATTATTTTATCTATGAATTTCAATTTAAGATATTAATGAGGGCATTGCATAATATTTATATAAAAGGGGAATGGTGTCTGATAGGGTTGAGAACACGGCACTAGGTAATCTCTAAGGTCCATCCATCTCTAAAATTCTAAGACTCGTTGGTTCCTCTAGCCTTACTATGAATGATGAACACTCTTGTCTCCAGCACAGTAAACACTGCACTCACAGAAATTTGTAAGTTGAATGTACTCTTTTGATAGTATTATGTCTCTTTTGTACTTATAAAAGACAGCAAACCATTTTTTTTTCTATTTCACTGAGTTGTGAAGACCATGTTAAACCAAGAGATACACACACTAGTTCTCCCAGCATGATTATTTTCACACACCCACCTGTGTACTTTTCTTACCTAGCTTGACGAGGTGGAGCATGGAGGTATTACTTCCTCTTTCAGTGCAAGCAGTTACGGAGATATTGTAGATATCTCCCGGAGGCAGGCTGAGAATTGTGGTCATGACATTGCGTGTTACCTGCAAGATCGTCAGAATGGAGGGTTTAAGCTTCTAATGGCCTTGAACTAGAATACCATTCCAAACAACTACAGGGCTGTCACAGATGTTCCCTCTTTGTTCTGTGCTGCCATCTACAGTTGACTAAGCCTTACGAATATATTATTTCCTCTAAGCATGATATAAATTTCTCAGCTGAGCCAAATGCAAGGTAGCCTTAAATAGGCACAATACCTAAAGGGGCATTTTTGTGATTAATTCCTTTGTTTGGAATGGGTATTACTCTGATTTTCCCCCCTCATATTCACAGCAAATTTTAGAAAAAGCAATTGCTTGGTTTTACTAATAGGAACATTGTTCAGCCTTAGCTGAGAAGCTCAAAAGAAACCTAACCATGTCTATGGACACCTGCTTTCTTAACTTAAGACTATATTTCCCAGTTTCTTCTATAGCCAGTGCAGACCATGTGACCCCATTCCAACCATGGGTAAGAGGAGGTACCATGGGCAACTTGTAGTTTTGTTCACACCCTGTATGCGCTGGGCCTTTGTGTCCTCTCTTTCCCCCTTCCTGTGGGCTGGAATATGGCCGTAAAGATGAGGACTACACATAGTGGCAGATGCAGCAGCAAAATAGAAAGAATCTGGACCCCTGGATGATCCCTCACAGCAGAGGTGCCCTGTTAGTGCTGGGTACCATGAGAGAGACATAGGTGTTGATATTCTTTAATCCACAGCCTTAAAAAAACTATTATTACAGTCATTTAGTTGGTACCCTAACTACTATAACAAAAAGCTTAATAAACCAGGAGAAAAGAAATTTGTATTTCCAACACATCCGTATATTTAGGTGTTGGGGATATATGGAGAAAATAATGAAATAACTATGGTTTTCTTGAAAATGTTTAGTATCCTGAAGAAAAAGCTCAGGCATAACTTTAAACACAGGTGAAGTCAATAATCAATAGATACAATGATTACTACTCACTACTAAAGATTAAAAGCTAAGCTCTGTGAAAGAAGGAATTTAATTTTTGTTCACTATCCTGTCTCCAGAACCAAAAACAGTGCCACTTGGCATACAAATATTTTTTTGATGTCTCAATAAATGTTTGCTTCATGGTTTTCAACAGATGCCCAATACTGGGAATCAAAGATACATACACTCTTTTTAATTTTCTTCTTTCCTTCTGCAACAACCATCCAGTGGAGCATTCTAGAATGCGAGAGGTCAGTAGTGTCATCCCCGTATGTCCAACTGATATATAACAGACTGTTGAAATATTCCACAGAAGTGATTTCTGGAGCAACTGGGGCTATGAGGGAGGAAAGAACTACACTTTAGTATAAGAGACTATGAATAATTAAAGTACTTATCAACAGAGCATGAAATCCCATATATAGTTAATTTAGAGAATTAAAATTCACACCTCATGATGGTCCTAAGGACTCTTGGACCTGTTGATAATATAGTGAAGTTTGGTGGTATGAGGTGGGCACTTGTTTTGTGAGACACTACCTTGTATGGCTCAGACCCAAGACAGCCAGACCTATACCTGAGGAGAGCAAGTTTTTTTATATAAATTTCATTTACAAGATTCCAAAAATGTTCACATGTTTGGGTCAAATTTGGGGTTAATTTATTGTTGGATCAATAAATTAATATTATTAGGCACTGGTGAACTTATTTTCCAAGCAGTACTAGAAACTCGGGTCCTGTAAACATAAATCTTTTTTATTGTGGCAGCAGAGAAGTTTACGGGAATAAAGAACAGTAGGATCAATGAGTAGAGGAACAGAAAAATAAATATTATGTCCATAAGATAACAAGACAATGGCATTGACAGTGTCTAGCGCAGTGCTTCGCGGAAGGTAGGCTCTATATAAAAGTTGCTGAAGCAAGTATTAAGGGAGGGAAGGAAAAGATTTTTAACTTTAAAAAGCTAAATTCTCCCTGACACTGAGTTTATGAATTTATTTTATAACTTTACACGTTTAAATTTAAAAAAATTCTGATGGGGAGGAGAGTTCATCACAAGCTTTATAATACATAAGCTTTGAAAGCACACTTTAATTATTTTTTAAAGTAACTGATAATTCTGAAGATTTTAACAAATACACAGTTGAATTTAAATTCCATGTGATGTTGGTTTGAAGATAGTCAAGTGTCCTATTCCAAGATACAGTCCCAAACCAACCAATGTTTGGAGGAGAATTTCAACAAATCAAAAAGACTTATTTTCTTTAACATGCACTAATACGTATAACAAACATTCATAACTATCTATGCTTTCAGATACAATTATTCACTAAAGAGATGTGTAATAGTAAAAAACATATTTCTGTTTCATGCTAAGTATGAGTAGCATTTCTATATGTTTGACAATAAAATCTTGAAATATCAACAATGTCTATAATAAGTAGCACAAACCCATATCATATTGCAGAAAATTCAAATAAAGGAAAATAACCCTGGTTTCTTTATAGCCTCATAACATATTTTTACATAATTCACTATATACAAGAACCTATATGTATATTTCTTCAAAGGATATTTTCTCAAGTTCTAATTTGAGTGAACATATTTAAAATTGCAAAGCCAGAAGTATATATCTCTCGCTCACAGGTTTGAAGTCTTCACATTTTTATACTTCAGTTGTTGATTTCAAATCCAGCATATTGCTGAAAGGCCACCAGATGTCACTATTTGTTTATTAAACATTATTTGGTACACCAGCATAATTAGGAACTTGACTTGCAGACAAACTGCCTAACAAAGATAATAGACTTGAGGTTCTAATAAATCGCACCTTATTCAAGTATTTTATTCCTATTCCCACACAATTTGGCAATTCGGATTACAATTGGAAAACATACGAAAGTAAAGTATGAGGTCTTTATTTGCTTTAAAATTGAAATGAGGGAAGAAAGCCCCCCCTGACCAAAAGCTAAAATTTCAACTAGTTTTAGATACAGGTATAAAAATAAAACTCAGCTACCATATGTATTTTAATAATGATTTAGATTATATAATTTAATTCTCACACTACCCTATGAGGTATTATTATGCCCATTTTATAGATGTGAGAATTGAGACCATCTGTGTCAATACGCTTAGATAACACTGTGGATTCCCAGTGTCAGCATGACTTAGTGGTTGGTCCCAGGAAAAAATAAGAAATTCCCAAAGATCAATTTATTGGAGACAATAGACTGCTCACCTAGGCAAGTAGCTTGCTTATTAACCATAGTTTACATATCCAGACTTGCTTTGTCCACCTAACTCTTATCTCATGACCTTTGCCCATTCCCAGGTAGTTTTCCCAACTTAGAAAGGCACACCTAAACCATTTGAGTCCAGAACTCCAAATCCTATTAATATTTCATTTCTGATGTCCCCCTTGGGAGACACCACGAACACTCTGTCCAGAAAGTGTCCTGGCTCACTACAGCAAGTTCCCTACGCTTAGCTTTGTTTCATTAGCCAGTTGTTAGGCAATATTTTGAGTTTTACCAGTGAGAAAATACAAGTCCAGGATCATTAAGATAATTTGCTCAAAGTTCTACAGCTGGAAATTAGCAGGGTCAAGGCTGCTCAATCAAGTGATCAGATGTGACGTCTGGGCTTTTTCCAGACAGCTGCTCTGTCTGAGAAGGAAAGAGCGTTCTCAGAGTGTTAATCTCAATAAAGTTAAGTGTATAAATTACTGATACAATGAAGTTTAATTATAATTAAGTATGTGATTATGAATATAGTCAAAAAGGCTAACACAGGGCTTGTCAAATAATTGGTATTTTCTCTTTTTATGGTAGTCTTTCACTTCTCTACTTTAATATTATTATTAACATCTGGAACAAAGGAAGCTCTTGACATTGGCCAGTAAACAACAGTCATGAACTATGTAAGTTGATTGTGTAAGAATTCACATGATTAACTTCTTTCCATTGTTTTTTTAATGGATAAATCTCAACAGGGTAAAGCTAGAAGTCCAGTGAGTAAATTATTTTGACAAAATTATTCTTCACCTAAACAATATCTTTCTCTTTTCTTTTCTCAGTATAACTTTAATTATGGCTTTGCAGTCTCATCAAAAGTTCTTGAAAAAATCTTAGTTCAGACAATAAGGGTTACTGTTTCTTGGATGAATTTCCTCTTCTTGTTGCTACCTCTGCCCACCTCTGCTATCTCTGCCATATGATAGTTATCTACATAATTTTAGGTTCTGAGGATCCAACACTAACAGTTTTTTGAGTACTTAAACTTTGTGCCCTGTATTTTGCTAAGCAGCTTTTTTAATTGGGAAGTAACAATAGATAATAATAGCAGATTATAGATACTATTATCATCCCTATTTTTCACCTGAAAAAAACTGAGGTTTAGAATAATTAACTTGCTGGAGTTTACAGGTGGAAGGTGGCAGACGTGTGACTCACACACCCAAGTTTATGTGTCTCCAGGTCTGTTTTAATTCCTGCAGTGGACAGTACTGCAGTCAGCCTGTGACTTTGAAAATGGCTTAATTAATAAGGAAATGGAGGTACTCTACCAAATACAATTATCAAAATGGATAAAATCATTTGAGTGTGGTGTAAAGCTGAAAGCTCTGACTGCTACATCTCAATTCTAATCAATTCTGAACAGGGGTGCATAAATCCAGGGCAGTGACTCAGGATAAAAAGAAATTAAGGACAGTAACTCAGGATACAAATTATATTTTAATTTTTAAAGGCTATTATTTAAACAAATAATAAAATTTCAGAATCAAGTATATCATCTTCTGTGAAATTGATACTCAGTCGGTCCTGGGTGAATGACTGGCAATTTCTGGAGATGGGCCCCCTCAGAGCTTCCTCAAAATAGTGATCTCTCCTCATGGGACCATTTCCCCCACACTCACCTGTTATGAAGCTTATGGTGGAACTGTCACAGCAGCTCAGTTCCGGGTCTCCCCATGTTACCATGGTAACTCGAAAGTTGTAGTACCATGCTGGCAACAGATGAGCTATCCTCTGAAAAAAGCAAGAAGACAAAAGACTAAGAGGGAAAATCATATTTTCGGAATACAGTTACGTACTTCTCTCAGGCTATGAAAAAAGTAATTTTTAATTTCCTTTTGCCTTTTTGTATTTCCCATTTCCCATTAAAAATATTCTTTTTGGAATGAGACGACGTGTAAATAAAATGATGCACCACAATATAATATATTTAAAAAAGTGATCAAAAGATATAGAGTCAAATACGTTCAGTATTGGTTTCCTTTTGCAGTTTCCTAAGTTATATTACACAAGAGAATTAGTATTTATTTGTACGTCACTGTATGTACATGTCCTCCGATTTCTAAGGCAAATAACCTTTCACAACTTTATATTCTCCCAGTATGGACCATAAAGATGCATCCATATTGGGTGGCAATCACCAGGGTTGTCAACTGGGTAGAGGACAATTGTGTAATTTGTATGTGACCTGTAGCTAACCTGCACTTTTAAAATTATTCTAGTCTCAGAAAGAGCAATCTTTTCCTGCTCTCTTGAAGAACATCCTCTAAGGGCCTGACATTATTGGTATTTAACTGATTTTTCAATGTCAAGAAGAGCCATCATTAGAGTTAAGCAGTGTCAACTAATTATTGAATGACTAGAGGAAATCTCCTGTGTTTTCTTCCTTAGGAGCAGAGAGAAACAATAAGCACTTGGTAGGTCTACTAAAATGTGAATTAGCAAATACACTCAATTAAGAGTGAAAGCTAGTTTCACACAATTCTCTCTCTCTTTCTCAAAAAGCAACAAAAAAATTAAAAGCAAAAACAACCCCAGACCTTGAAAGTAGCAAGCTACCTGCGTGTATTTACAAAACGGTCTAATTTACATAACACATAATAATTTTTTCAGACACATTTGGTACATGAAAGCATGTCTGTTGACACAGGAAAATGTGACAGCTGGTTAAGGAAAGATTACCACGGATGCAGTCAAGGAGACAGTCGCTGCTATTTCATAGTAAGTTGTCCATTCTGATGTCATTGTTGTAGGGTTGAAATAAAACATTTCAACCACATATTTTCTGAACACTCCTAAATAAGGTCTGGTCCAGCTCAAAACCACTGCTGTAGGACCCAAGGGATAGAGCATTAAATCCTTTATTCCAGTTGGAACTAAGAAGGGAGGGGAGTGAAAAAAGAAAGTCAAGAAGGAATGTTTAATATCTTAGCAATAGCTTCACACTGCTACCTAATAACTAGGTTTTTCACTCTTCTGATACAATCATTAAAAACTAAAAATATTTGCCTGAGATTTTCTTTTTCCCAAGTAATGGATGCTAAGGATGGCTTCCAGGTATACAATTGTAATCATTAATTACTCTGAAGGTTGACTATTGGGTGAACAAGTATGGACCTCCCATAAATGATGATAATGACTTGAGCTTAGAAATTGCACCCCTCCAAATAGTACTCTGATAAAGGTATTATTCTTGTGGCTGGCAACTTACCAATAGCAAATGTCACAGGGTCTGAAGGTGGTCCAATCAAAGGGCCTTTTCTTAGGTACATCACAACCTGGTACTGGGCACCAGGAACCAGATTTTCAATAATAGATTTGCTTGAGTTCACCTTCAAACCAAACACCCAATAAGATTTATTTAGAGCTGGGCTTTCAGAATGTGGCACAGAGGCTAACATCGTTTTCAGGGACACTTTGTGAAATCACAAATGCCTCTGAAATCCAGAAGCCTTTACTTATGCTGAGGAAGGTCAAATTTCAAAATTAGGATGATATATAGTTTATATGAGCACTGGAGGAAACCCAGAACATTCAAATTCTAAGGCTAGATTTAATAAGCCCCGTGAACTGCTTTATACCCATCAATGTCAATTGTAACTACGTACACTAGAAACACATCAGCCTCTAACCATAATCAAATCAGGAATAACATAAGGATAGTCTGACATCCTAAATTGTAGTGTCAGCTGATTATATGCAAAGATCAGTGCAGGAATGTCTTTAGTCTCTCATCACTTAGAAGCATATAATATTTAATTATAGTGATGGAAATTACCTCAGAGATTATCTAGTCCAAATCTCTCATTTAACAGATCAAGAAAGTGAAGCTAGAGAATAGCCAAGATCACATATCTAGATCAGTGTTGGGACTGGAAGCCTAGCATTGTGTCCTCTACTCCATGATACAGGCCAAGCAGCAAGATACAGCAGTAAGCACTTTGCAAGGCTACTGTGACAACCTGCCAAGAATGAATCAGGAAGAAACAGATAATCTGAACAGACTGGTTACTAGTAGTGAAATTGAATTTGTAATTTAAAAAAAAAAACAACAAAACTCCTAGCAAACAAAAGCCCAGGACTGGATGGTTTCACAGGGGAATTCCACCAAACATTATAAAGAAAAGCTAATTCCGGGAGTCAAGATGGCATACTAGGAGGATGTGGAATTCATGTATCCTCACAACTAGGGCACTTACCAGGCATCAGTGGGGGACCATGGACACCTAAGGGGACAGGAGGAACGCCCAGCAACCGGCTTGCAGGATCTTGGTTCCCAGGCCGGAGGTTGGACCCAAGTTCCTGTGGTGGGAGCTCTGAGTCCAAACTGCTGGACCAAAAGGAGAACCTCAGAGCCCAGGGAATATCAATTGGAGTGAGACCTCCCGGAGGTCCTCATCTCAGCACCAAGACCCAGCTCTATCCAGCTGCCTGCAAACTCCAGTGCTGGACGTCTCAGGCCAAACAACCAGTAAGACAGGAATACAGCACCACACATCAAAAAAAAAAAAAAAAAAAAAGAAGAAAAAAAGAAAAGAAACAACAAAAAAATTTGTTACAGACAAAGGATCAAGGTAAAAACCTACAAGACCAAAAAAGAAAAAACAACAACAAACCAAAAAAAGAAGATGAAATAGGTAAGCTACCTGAAAAAGAATTCAGAGTAACGATAGTAAAGATGATCCAAAATCTCAGAAACAGAACGGAGAAAATACAAGAAACATTTAAAAAGGATCTAGAAGAACTAAAGAGCAAATAAACAGTGATGAACGACAAAATTACTGATATTAAAAATACTCTAGAAGGAATCAATAACAGAATAACTGAGGCAGAAGAACGGATAAGTGAGCTGGAAGAAAAAATGGTGGAAATAACTGCCAGGGAGCAGAAGAAAGAAAAAAGAATGAAAAGAATTGAGGACAGTCAGAGAGACCTCTGGACAACCTTAAATGCAACAACATTCAAATTATAGGGGTCCCAGAGGAAGAGAAAAAGAAAGGGTCTGAGAAAATATTTGAATAGATTATAGTGGAAAACTTCCCTAATATGGGAAAGGAAATAGTCACTCAAGTCCAGGAAGCACAGAGAGTACCATACAGGATAAACCCAAAGAGAAACACTGAGACACATATGAATCAAACTATCAAAAATTAAAAACAAAGAAAAAATATTGAAAGCAGCAAGGGAAAAGCAACAAATAACATACAAGGGAATCCCCATAAGGTTAACAACTGATTTTTCAGCAGAAACTCTGCAAGCCAGAAGGGAGTCGCAGGACATATGTAAAGTGATGAAAGAGAAAAACCTACAACCAAGATCACTCTACCCAGCAAGGATCTCATTCAGATTCGACAGAGAAATTAAAAATCTTTACAAATATACAAAAGTTAAGAGAATTCAGCACCACCAAACCAGCTTTACAACAAATGCTAAAGGAACTTCTCTAGGCAGGAAACACAAGAGAAGAAAAAGACCTACAATAACAAACAAAACAATTAAGAAAATAGTAATAGGAACACACATATCGATAATTACCTTAAATGTAAATGGATTAAAAGCTCCAACCAAAAGACATAGACTGGATGAATGGATACAAAAGCAAGACCTGTACATACGCTGTCTACAAGAGACCCTCTTCAGACCTAGGGACATATACAGACTGAAAGTAAGGGGATGGAAAAAGATATTCCGTGCAAATGGAAATCAAAAGAAAGCTGGAGTGGCAATTCTCATATCAGACAAAATAGACTTTAAAATAAAGGCTATTACAAGAGACAAAGAAGGACACCACATAATGATCGTGGGATAAATCCAAGAAGAAGATATAACAATTGTAAATATTTATGCACCCAACACAGGAACACCCCAATACATAAGGCAAATGCTAACAGCCATAATATTGGCAATTGACAGTAAGACAATCATAGTAGGGGCTTTTAACACCCCACTTTCACCAATGGACAGATCATCCAAAATGAAAGTAAATAAGGAAACACAACCTTTAAATGACACATTAAACAAGGTGGACTTAATTGATATTTATAGGACATTCCATCCAAAAACAACAGAATACACTTTCTTGTCAAGTGCCCATGGAACATTCTCCTAGATAGGCCATATCTTGGGTCACAAATCAAGCCTTGGTAAATTTAAGAAAATTGAAATCGTATCAAGTATCTTTTCTGACCACAACACTATGGTTGTGTTACAGGAAACAAACTGTAAAAAATACAAACATGGAGGCTAAACAATACACTACTAACTAACCAACAGATCACTGAAGAAATAAAAAAATACCTAGAAACAGATGACAATGACCCAAAACCTATGGGAAGCAGCAAAAGCAGTTCTAAGAGGGAAGTATATAGCAATACAATCATACCTCAAGAAACAACTCAAATAAACAACCTAAACTTAGACATAAAGCAATTAGAGAAAGAAGAACAAAAAAAAACTCCAAAGTTAGCAGAAGGAAAGAAATCATAAAGATCAGATCAGAAATAAATGTAAAGGAAATGAAAGAAACAATAGCAAAGATCAATAAAACTAAAAGCTGGTTCTTTGAGAGGATAAGCAAAATTGATAAACCATTAGCCAGACTCATCCAGAAAAAAGGAAGAAGACTCAAATGAACAGAATTAGAAATGAAAAAGGAGAAGTAACAACTGACACTGCAGAAATACAAAGGATCATGAGAGATTACTACAAGTTACTATATGCCAATAAAATGGACAACCTGGAAGAAATGGACAAATTCTTAGAAAAGCACAACCTTCCGAGACTGAACCAGGAAGAAACAGAAAATATAAACAGACAAATCACAAGCAATGAAATTGAAACTGTGATTAAAAATCTTCCAACAAACAAAATCCCAGGACCAGATGGCTTCACAGGGGATTCTATCAAACATTTAGAGAAGAGCTAACACCTATCCTTCTCAAACTCTTCCAAAATATAGCAGAGGGAGAAACACTCCCAAACTCATGCTACGAGGCCACAATCACCCTGATACCAAAACCAGACAAAGATGTCACAAAAAAAGAAGACTACAGGCCAATATCTCTGATGAACATAGATGCAAAAGTCCTGAACAAAATACTAGTAAATAGAATCCAACAGCCCATTAAACAGATCATACACCATGTTCAAGTGGAGTTTATCCCAGGAATGCAAGGATTCTTCATTATATGCAAATCAATCAATGTGATACACCATATTAACAAATTGAAGGATAAAACCATATGATAATCTCAATAGATGTAGAAGAAGCTTTTGTCAAATTTCAACACCCATTTATGATAAAAACTCTCTAGAAAGTAGGCATAGGTGGAACCTATCTCAACATAATAAAGACCATATATGACAAACCCACAGCCAACATCGTCCTCAGTGGTGAAAAACTGAAACCATTTCCACTAAGATCAGGAACAAGACAAGGTTGCCCACTCTCACCACTATTATTCAACATAGTTTAGGAAGTTTTAGCCACAGCAATCAAAGAAGAAAAAGAAATAAAGGAATCCAAATTGGAAAAGTAGAAATAAAACTGTCACTGTTTGCAGATGACATTATACTATACATAGAGAATCCTAAAGATGCTACCAGAAAACTACTAGGTCTAATCAATGAATTTGGCAGAGTAGCAGGATACAAAATTAATGCACAGAAATCTCTTGCATTCCTATACACTAATGATGAAAAATCTGAAAGAGAAATTAAGGAAGCATTCCCATTTACCATTGCAACCAAAAGAATAAAATACTTAGGAATAAACCTACCTAAGGAGACAAAAGACCTGTATGCAGAAAACTATAAGACACTGATGAAAGAAATTAAAGATGATACAAACAAATGGAGAGATATACTATGTTCTTGGATTGGAAGAATCAACATTGTGAAAATAACTGTACTACCTAAAGCAATCTACAGATTCAATGCAATCCTTATCAAACGACCAATGGCATTTTTCACAGAACTGGAACAAAAAATTGCACAATTTGTATGGAAACACAAAAGACCCCGAATAGCCAAAACAATCTTGAGAAAGAAAAGTGGAGCTGGAGGAATCAGACTCCCTGACTTCAGACTATACTACAAAGCTACAATAATCATGACAGTATGGTACTGGCACAAAAACAGAAATATAGATCAATGGAACAGGATAGAAAGCCCAGAGATAAACCCATGCACATATGGTCACCTTGTCTTTGATAAAGGAGGCAAGAGTATACAATGGAGAAAAGACAGCCTCTTCAATAAGTGGTACTGGGAAAACTGGAATAAAAGAAGGAAATTAAACACTCCCTAACACCATACACAAAAATAAACTCCA